CTTCTTCTTCTCCTCCTCCTCCTCCTCCTCCTCCTCCTCCTCCTTCCCCTTCCCTTTCCCCTCCTCCTCCTTTTCCCCTTCCCCTTCCCCTCCTCCTTCTCCTCTTCCTCCTTCTTCCTCTTCTTTAATTGCAGAATTATTTATTTATTTTATGTAGGTGAGTACACTGTAACTGTATTCAAACACATCAGAAGAGGGCATCAGATCCCATTACAGATGGTTGTGAGCCACCATGCGGTTGCTGGGAATTGAACTCAGGACCTCTGGAAGACCATTCAGTGCTCCTAACCACTGAGCCATCTCTCCAGGACCCCCAGTTCTTTCTTTTTTTGCCTGCCTCTCCTTTTGTCCTTCGTATATTTGCTATCAGTGCAGCTGAAGAAATAAATGAAATAAATGAACTGATGGGTATCTATCAGGAATCCTGTAGCCATCAAAACCACTATCTGTTTGCCCTCTCTCCAAGCAAAGTTGGTTCTTTCATTTAAATTTCTTTCCTAGACACTATTTATATCTCTTTTATGGGTTTTCTGTGCTCATTGCTGGACCCTCTCAAAATTAGGAAAAAGTACATACACATCCAGCCTTCTAGCAGATTTCAAGGCTGGGACCACAGTGAATGTGATGTATTTTGACTGACACCCACATAGTCACCAGACAAGAGGCTCACCTGAAACTGCACCACAGTAGGATCACCTGCACACAGTAGGGTCACTGTCACACTGCATTTATAACAATGTACAGCCTCCTTATAAACACACTATCGTGTCTTTAAAAATATCTCATAGCCAAGTGTAGTGGTGCTTGTAATTCTAGCACACAGGCAAGAGGATCCCATGTTCAAGGCAAGCCTGGGCTACATACCAAGGTAGAGGATAACCTGGACTGTATAACAAGACTCTGCCCCTGCCCGCAAAAGGCTTGTGATTAATGCATTAGGATTAGGGTTGCAGTTTATAGAGTAGTTTCTCCAAAGTTAAAATGTTCTGTATGTTATCACCGAGGGTACCCGCTTCATTTATTCTAGGAAACTTAAATTTGTCATCCTGTCCACTGGCTGTCCTCGGCTCTATCCATTATCTGATAAACAATTTGCTGCTTCCGGAGCCCTGATTCAGCTGATGAATGTGCACATGACCTGCTGACTTCAAGCCATAGAGTTAGAATACATTAATTCTACTTGCTTATCTGTCCCCACCAGATGAAGCCAAAGCCATCAAAGCTTATTCGAAGGACAAAACTCATGACTCTTGAGTGTTCCAATCTGCCCACCGTGGGAGTAATAGGCTTCCGGAAAACAAGATAGTGTGCTGAAGTCACAAAGTCTGTTAAGCCTAGCAGGGCTGCAATAGTCACAAAGTCACCGCTGTGGCCATGAGGGATGGCGAATGGAAAGCAAGATGCCACCTTCTAAAAATAGCCCACTTCTTGTTCCCTTATGCATTGGCTCCTGGTGGGCACAAATGGTGGTACATGCCTATGATCCTAAATTCAAAGTCCGCATGAGCTACATAGCAAGGTCCACTCTCAAAAACAAAACAAATGTTAGTGCCTGATGTTAGCTCTGACAGATCAGGAGACCTCAAAGCCAAATTTCTTATGGTTTAAAAAAGAGTATAGGAAGAAAAAAAAAAAAGATTGTGCCTGCTATCTAGTCCCAGGCTTAGCTTTGGTCTGCAGTGCCCAAGAACATGCATTCATAGAGATGGTTTGCTTGGCTTGGTAGCACAGACCACGGTCAGGGGACTGAAAAACAAGGATCACAAATTCAAGACCAGATTGGGAAACTTAACAAGATACTATCTCGTTTGAAAAATAATACTAATGGCCGGGCAGTGGTGGAGCACACACCTTTAATCTCAGCACTTGGGAGGCAGAGGCTGGCAGATTTCTGAGTTCGAGGCCAGCCTGCTCTACACAGAGAAAACCTATCTCGAAAAACCAAAAAATTAAAATAATAATAATAAGTGTTTAAAAATGGACTGGGAGTGTAGCTTAGAGTACCAGTACTTGCCATGTATACACAATGCCCTAGGAGCAGGTAACACATTGATTTATCCACTGGTGGGAATGTTACTACCTCTGAGGGCAACAGCGTGAGCCACATAAAATGACACAAACCTCATATTTGTGCTCTACAAAGACGCATAACCCCTTCAGTAGCATGACACCCAGAATACTTGACTGCAGGTCACAAGAAAGTGTTTCTCTTAAAGATAATTAAAAATGTTGACCTAAAGGGACACATTTAAGTGTCTAGTTTTCTTCTTCATTCTTATTCTCTGTTCCTTAAATGTGCAGAGTTTGTGATTTTTAGTCTGAAGAACACAGGTATCCGAGATCTCACCTAGCCTCCTTCCAGCTCTGTAGATCTTAGAGCGCTGCCTTCCCGTGGTCCCTACTAAAGTTGATGTTCACTCTAAGCTCCTTGTCTTACCGTCCATAGACACTCTGAAGAGGTTTCTAATCCCCAAAACGTTATTACTTCCTAAGCCCACAGCAGAGCTACGCAGTGGACTTACTGACTTTTCCTTCAGCATATTTGATAGTTGTATAATTTTTAACGAATGTATCTTAAAATCATCTTATTGTACATATTAGCATAAACCCCATGAGGAGAGGATTCCTGTGAGTTTTGTGTCCTGATATATTCCAGAACTTGGAAGAATAATGCTAATCACTTCCTTAACATGCCAAGTCTGGGAAGGGGTATCTTACAGTCTGTATAGTACGCCAACACTCCTGGCAATTCTAACCAGCAAAATTGATACAAAGCACTACATAGACTTCTGCTTCTGTGTTCTGTATCTACCTGGTGATGACTACATCCAGAATCTACCTTCCATTTGTCATGGTGATATCTAAAGAGTATATCCTTTATAAATAGGACTCCATAGACTTTGATATTTGAGAAACATTTTTAGTATAGGCCATTTTTACTGATTCTTTCTTTAATTTGAAGAATTAATTT